CTCATTACGAGATTTGTTATAAGCTTAGTTTTCTCAAAGTTTATCTTTAATCCTGCTCTTTCAGACAGACTTTTAAGAGAACGCATCATAAAAACTGTATCATGTAAGTTATCTGCGATTAATACAACATCATCTGCAAACCTTAGGTGATTTAATATTTCTTCATCTATTGACAATATTGACTCTAGAGCTGCCGTGAACAATTTTGGTGAAATATTGTCTCATTGTCTAACTCCTCGCTCTAAGCTGAATTTTTCTGTGTCTTCGTATAGTTGTATACTTGATGTAGCGTTCTTGTAGATGTTTTTGATTAGTATCGTGTACCTGTAATCTATTCGGCTTTGATTTAGGGCTTCCAGTATTGTTTCAAACTCTACAGAATCAAAAGCCTTCTCGTAATCGACAAATGCAAGAACCGGTGGTTTGTTGTACTCGATACACTTTTCCATTAAGATCTTTATGGTATGCAAATGGTCATTTGTGGCGTATCCTGCCCTGAAGCCTGCCTGTTCTTTGGCCTGATAGAAATCAAGTTTAGGTGTTAGCCTCTTTGTTAAGATTTTCATAAAGAGTTTGTACATATGTGTCAAGAGGCTTATGGGTCTATAATTTTCTAATTTAGTAATATCGCCTTTTTTTGTGTAACAAGACTATTAATGCATTGTTACAGTCTTTTGGAATCGCACCCGCATGTAAGGATTTAGTAAACAGTTCGCTTACTGATTTTAATAAAATTTATCCTCCTGCTTTTATTGCCTCAATAACGAGTCCATCATCACCAGACGATCGATGGTTCTTCATTTCCTTTAAAGCTGCTCTTACTTCTGACACAGTATTGGGTAAAAGTAGTTCCGATCCCTGATTTATGAGAGTCTTTACTCGTGTCGGGAAATTGTCTTGTGGTCTTTGACTGGTATAGAGGTCTTTATAAAACTCTCTGGTTATTTTCATGTTTTGTTTATCTGTTGTTGCCTTTCCGTCTTTATCTCTCATCTTGTATATTTCTTTTTTACTGTGTGTGAGTTTTCTTTTCATTATCTTTAAACATTTGTTCTCTTCTACTGTTTGAGTAATTACATTAGTATTATATCTTCTTACATCTTTTCTAATTTCCGCTGAAATTCTTTTATTTACTTCTTTATATTCTTCTTTGTTTCCCTTTTCGTTCTCGCTTAGGTTTCGTCGTATTTCCATGAGAGCTTTTGTAATTTTGCTAATCTTTCCACTTTTGGTGTCATTTTTCTTGCAAAATTTGAGTTGTGCGTTTCTAACCGAGTTTGTTATTAATTCATTGTGATCGCCGATACTTAGAGGTTTGGGATTATTACTCTGTAAAGTTTCGGCTATATTTTTTATGTATGCTTCTGGATGATTTGGTGAATTTCAAACTATGTGTTTGCAACTGTTTATCATCATTTAATCAATTTAATCAATTTAACATACAAACACAATAATAATTATGACTGAATTTAATTAACAAATAAAACTGCGTTGATATTTTCTTTCATAGTAAATGGAGGGTATTGTATAAATAAATGTAACACAGTAATTATTTAATTTTGATATATTGGTTTTATTATAACACTAAAAAGAGTATCAAGTGTGGAAAAATAGTAACTGAAAATAATTTTCTAATGGTTAATTTTCTTCATCATCAGAAGAAAACTCTGTACTGGAAGATTCGCTGTTAATATTTATAATAATATTAGCTATTTCCATGGCGTTATCAACCACTATCTCGCTGTTTATGTATTCATCTTTCTTCTTAATGACATGGTCACATCGTTTTCTCCACTAATTTGCATGAATTTTATTGAACTCTTCCTCAGCCAGTTTTTGTACAGCTAATTTAAATGTAACGTTTTTCTGGCTTACATTATTTTTGACTGTAGCCCATATAAATTCAATCGGGTATAGGTCAGGATGGTTCGGAGGGAAACGCAAAGGAATATGGCCATGCTCGCGTAAAATTTCGTCGAACTTGTATTTTACATGACGGGGTTTATGATATTTAATGGTTTCATATAATTCCGGTTTTAAAGCGTAGGCATAAACGGAATATTTGTCTGTATTAACCATTCTATCATTTCATTTTTTTTTAGTTTGATGTAGGAGCCCGCTCTAACTAAATACTATAATAAGACGCGTTATCAAAAACTAGTACCGAGTTATCAGGTAAATTATGTATTAAACGTTCTTGTAACCACTTTCCATAATTATGTACATTCATTTCAGAGTGGAAATACCCTGATTTTGTAGCTGACTTGAATCTCATGCCTCCACCGGCATGCACTATTATTAGTCGTTGACCTTTGGAAATATTATTAGAAAATAATCCCTTTGTTGATTCGTCAGTCCAGTTCTAGTCTAGTACATGCCGTACCGACGAAAATCTTCGGAGATTTTCGTATGAGATTCGGAGAAGGCTAGCATAGAAAATAAGGATTCAGGTAGCCTGGTTAATAGCTAAAGGCCCCTTGTCTTTAGTGACAAACGAAGACTATTAGAAAACAATGACAGATAAAAATAATATCCGAAAAGGCGAATTTGGCGGAATTACCAGCCTAGCTTTAAGGCCTACTAGAGAATCTTGATAGTATAGACTAATAAGTAAGTCATGGCTGTTGAAGATTACATATTCCGTACGGTTTATTCCAAACAGTCACAGATGCGAGTTATATACTGATTCAATCGGGTGTGATACTGCAATAAAAAATTAAAAACAGAAAAAGTTGTATACAACTTCCCAAGACTGTGGCGAAAAACGCAACAAAAGTTGATCTCTACTCCCTGCAGTTCTTAGATGGACAAGGACTGCTAATAATCCTCGAGCTCAAAATAGTGAAATCATAGATAATATCGGCACTTATAATGATAACAACCTTATTGCAGCAGGTAAACTCGATAACCCAGAAAAGGACATCGAACGGATGAAAATAAACATCATGAGCATTAGCGAACTAAGATGACCCGGATCAAGAACATGTGACAATGTGACAGAGATATTAACACTATATGAGTTTTGCAGTCACTACAATAACAACAATCTCGGAAATAAACTTAAAGTATTCAAAACCACTGAATATCGATAATATATTTCAAACTGTGTCTCTATTTCCGACAAAATTATACTTCTTCAAATTAATAACGGTTATAATATATTGCAATTCTATGCACCCACTGCTGAAAAAAAAAGAAGACAGAAATTGATGTGTTCTATGAACAGATAAATAACATTGTAAATAGTCGTTAACAATTTACTGTAGGAGGAGACTTTAACGCAAACATATATTTGGGAAATATTTGGTGCGAAAATATTGCTGACGAAAATCGACCAACTTATAATTCAGACTTTTTAAAATTCATTAGCCACTGCAAAGCACTATAGTCAGTTTTAATTATAAAATTTTGTTACAAAAGAAAGTTTAAAAATGTTCTAGGGCTTTTATAAGAGCTATACGTTCTTTTCTGTTAACGTAATAATTGTTTTCAGCTTTTTCCATTGTTTTACTAAAATATGTATGAACTTTTTTTTTCACCTTTCTGTTCTTGTGCATACGGCGCCAATACTATGCTGAGATGTGTCACAATCCAACAGAAATTTGCCATCTTGTGGATGGATTAGGATAAGTACTGTTGTGAGTCGTTTTTTTTTAATATATGAAGGCATTTTGACAATCCGGTGTCCAGTCAAATTCAATTTTGTATTCGGCTAGTCGATAAAGTGGTTTATCAATGTGGCCTAAATCTTTAATAAATTTTCGGTAATATGAACAAATTAAAAGAAAAATTCTAATTCCTTTTTTATTTCCTGGTGTAGGCCAACTTTTAACAACTGAAAACTTCATTGAAATCTTCGAAACAATTGCTGAAGCCGATACCAAACGAGGAAAGAACATACAAAGAATAAGGTCAGTAGGTCGCCTAGATTGACATCCAGAAGCCCATCACATAGTCTCTAAAAAATCGAAATACCACAACTGAGCACAGATATTCAAACAGTAGCCAGAAAAACGAAGAAAAATCGATACTAAGCGGTTGGCGTCCGCTGCATCCAATAAAAACTAAATACAACTAACTTATACTTTAAATAAAAATGCACAAAATTTACTACTAAAGGGCTATGTTGACCATAAAAAATGTACATTTATTATTGATACCAGTGTAATCAGATCCTTTGTTCGAACCGGATTTCTAGATGGAAAACTAAGGCCAACTAAAACAAATTTAGTTTTTGAAACAGCTTCAGGTCACACTATTATAATTCACATAGAGATAACGGCAATCATACAAATTGGTAACACCTTGATAAAACATCTATTTCTCGTAGCCGATATTAAAGATGAATGCGTTCTTGAGATGCATATTACGCAGAACAAATTTATCATAGATCTTTAAAATAAAATTTTATTTATTGAAAATTAGGAAGTTGTCCTAAATTTGGAAAAATCGATACCACAAGTAAGAATTATAGTGAATGAGGATACAGAAATTCTTCAAAATTTTGAAAGTATCGTCCTGGCGAGACTGAGTAAAAAATCTGAAAGTCTACATTTCGGCGTTGTGAAAAGCACAACATATATATGTATATATATATATATATATATATATATATATATATATATATATATATATATATGGACAACTCCAGTGGTCTGCAAAGCTCGAACGACGACAGAAGACCAGCCTGAAGATGGCAACACAGTAACAACAACCTCTCTCAAAACTGACAATTGTTCACACATATAACTAAATACCTATGTACCATTAGTGACACCTTAAACAGACCTAATAGCTATGCAACTATTTATTCATAGACATATATTTATGTATAGATCTTTAAATATTTAAGGCGTTAATTATTTTAACATGTATCTCAGTCTGGACATAATTTTCTGTGCCATTAGCTTTAAAGCTGCTTGATAAGTGTTTTCTTATTATTTTCCGTTGCAAATTGTAGTACCGCATAATCTCCGCTTGAAAAACAATGCAATTTCTCACTAAAACAAGCTTTTACTAATTCTTGGATTTTTGGAGTATATTTCTGCCCTTACAACCTCTCCAATTTTGGATCCGCCTTGATACCAGAACCCCTGGTTTTGGCACTCATTATTTATCCACACATCCCTGTCTAGACTGTATGTCGTTCTCTTTATTATCAAATGCAAGAGCTGTGGGCCTAGTAAGCCTTCATATGATTTCCTGCATTGGCTCACTTCATTAGTAGGTGTCAGTGCTGATCGTCTTACGGAAGAAGGAAGTCCATAATAATCTCTCTCGATCCACTTTCCTCGCGGATTCTTGACTCTTACTGCCGTTAGGTGTCTGGAATAATTAACGGCAGTATCTCGATCTCCTTTCTGACAATCGTACAGATCCGGAAGATCTCTGTAGATCTACTGTAGATCAGTTTTCTTTTTGTCCCTCCTATATCTTTAAACCCCCTTTAGCTTACCTAAGGCTCTTGTACAAGGGCAATTTCAAACGTACTCCAAAGCGTTACGAGGACTGCCGAGGTTTGTTTGCAGTGTTTAAGGTTAATCTGAACTTAGACATATCTTTTTTGCATTGCAGATCTCTGAAGGTTACCCTACCTAGTCTATAGTAAAGTTTGTAGTTTTTCTGCTTTACATTATTGCAGGACTCTCTATCTATAGAGAAGGCCAGGAGCTGACTCCTTCCTCTATTTTTCTACTTAACATGGATCAGTTCTGTGTCCTCAGCATCGGATTTAGATGCTGAAGCGTATCCTGATCATCTGTAAATTTATGGATTGTGGCTCAGGGATAAAGACAACGACCCTGGTTTTTACCAGGAGGTCCTTAAATTCGACCACTGTCAAATTGGCCCCCACCCAGAGACTGCCAAACCCTTCAATCGCCTACCTAAGCTAGTTCTTTCTGACCTCACTTGCTTAGAGACAGAGTAGAGTGCTTCCAACATTTTGCTTTGTACCAGGTCTGCCTATTCTTGACTTAATATATAATCGGGATGGTGTTTGTGTATCACCGCCATCCTGATGCCCTTCACCGTCTCACAGTATTTCATCCTTTTCGAGATGATATTGGGCTTCTTGGCCTCGTTCTTGTCACTTGTAGGTGTCTAAGACTCAGAGTGAGGTCACTTATTCCCAACTCTCCTGCCCTCCTTCTGTTTCTTAAGTATATATTTCTTGTCGCCAGTCTTGGTTTTCTTGTGAGGTTTTTCTTCCTTTTGTCAAACCGAAAAGCTCGAAAGCTTTTTTATTTTTTGATAAGTCGAGTCAAGTCTGATTTTGCTGATTCCTCAGATGTTTTTGCAGAGGCCTGTCTTCTTTGGCTTCCTATTTACCGTCAGTGTAAATGGGTTCCATCTACCTGAGTGTTGCAGCCAAGGAGTTTGAGTTATTGGTCATTGGTTCTCCCATTCTCCCTTTGTTGGTGAAGAGTCCAAGTCAGTGGTCTCTTACTTTCTTTTTTCTTGGTGTCTTTTTTGTTATTTCGTGTACATTCCATTTCCACAAATAGCTAGGGATAGTCCTAGAGAAAATGTTTTCGCTTCAGCCGAGTTTCGCATACAGGAGTAAGTCTTTATACAATAGGGTTTTTCCCTGTTCCCTAAAGGTACTATTAGTTATACCGGTATCCCAGTATCTTTCATGCCCTCGCCACGGTAACTAACTCGCAGTAGGGTCGAGCCGTTTCTTGGACTTTCGGTTGAGAGGTGGGAGCTCGCTTAAGCCCCAATGATTATTAATTGCTTCAATAAAAATAGCTTAGTTAGTACTAAGATCACCAAATAGATTTTGGTGATTTGGTGAACTGTTTTCTATGTTAAGCAACGTATTTATCGATAAACCTTGGTAGTTGGGTAAGAGATAGAAAAAAATATATAAAGATTTTTTTTAAATATATGTGTTATCATTTATTAAATTTTTATCACTACTATTTTCATTAGGTAAAATATTAACTTCTCGTACATTTTGCTTGAATTGTATCAAAAACCTCATTTCTTTTTTAAATTCTTCTTTGAAAGATATGTGATCCCGTTTAGATTTTCTGTAAATAGACCAGGTAAGCTCGATCAATGATCCTATACTGGCCATGATGGATCCAACAAATAAAACCAAAAAGACACCTCCAACATTCTGAAGATCCAATGGAGTGGCCTCACTATTTTCATTTTTAGACTACAAGTAAAAATATAACTTAAAAAATCTAACATACTAATTATCTAGCTTAAATACAATGGAAAGAATGTTTCCTTACCGTACATTTACCTCCACCTCTCTTTTCTTTCCACCATTTGATTTTTAAACTTGTTAAAACGCCTCTTTCCTGTAGCTGAAGGATGGCTGTGCTGATATCATTTCTATAAAGAGACTCTGAAAATATAACAATCAAATGTGTCAATCAAAAACACAAAAATATGGAGACAAAAGCAATATTAATGTCATGAAGATATGTATTATTTAGCCTACGTCCATTAGACTAACTAAGGTGATAACTGACAACAAGTTATAAAAAAATTGTCAGTGTGAAACTTAAACTCTAAATTATTTGATAAAAGACTACTTAGTGTCGTAGCTATCAAAAATTCCAGCACAAAGTACTTATAAACATCGTAAAGGTTCCTCGATTCTGTCTCCGGCTATTACAGAAAATGTAGCTTCGCCTGTTTTCCAAATTTGAAAGTGTTTGTTCGTCCTTGTGTGGTGTATTGTAATGGCTCATTTTATGTTTATGACATTTTACTCTTATCGGATAGGCCGCAATTGACGAAATGCCCCTGAAGATGATCTAGTGATCGAAAGTACTTGGGCAAGATTAAATTAATACTGTGCTCGATATTTGTATTTTATATTATCAAAATGTTCATTTATTTATTAGAACATTCAACCTTATATCAAAATAAATAGAGGTATAAGAGTTATAAACAATGATGATTTTTCTTCTTCTTCTTCTTTTTATATAGACATGACTCTGTCTATTTTTCAATGGGCCTCCAGTAAGTTGTTATTCCATCGTTTTCGTGGTCTTCCTACTCATCGTCTTCCTATTGGGGAACCGTCTCTTGCCATCTTTACTATTCTATTTGTTGTCATTCTGCTTAAATGATCGTTCCATTCTACTCTTCTATTTCTTGATAGATTATACTATAACCAACAGAGATATACATCCATCAAAAACAGTCGACGTAAGATGCCTTAACTCAGCAGATGTAGGTAGCGGCCATAGCCTAGTATTATGTAAAATAAAAATAATCCTGAAATACTTCCCACCCAAGAGAGCGGCGCCAACACAAACAAAAATCAAAGTCGAAGGACTAAATAAGGAATCGAAGGAATACTTATACAGGAAAAGAATATCAGAGAAGATCGCTGTGAATGAAATATTAGAAAACAATGAAGATTGAAAATTAAAATAGGGTCAGTTCTTATTGCTGAATTACCTTGTCCAATTCTAGAGCTATTTCTTTTGTATTTTGACCATCGCTTCAAAGGCCCCGACTTAATATATTCTTCATCCATTTTCCTTAGCAGCTAGTTGATATTATCTTGATCTTCTGCAAGTAACTTGGTCATCGGCAAAATGTAAGCTGTACAGCTTATCATCTTTAATTGGAATACCCATAGGTTCATATTTTTTTCAGACATTGAAAACCCCTTCGAAATAAATTTTATAGAGCGTAGATGCAATGCAGCAGACTTGGCAAAGTTCTTTGGTTACCATTTATCTTTTTTGTTACTTTTAATTTCACCATTAATTTTTATTACTTATAATATCCACTTATCCAATAGATTTAATTGCAGCTGCGTCAAGGGGTTTAATGATTTTGTTGTATGCATTAATGAGCGAGGAGACACAAACATTGTTTAGTTTCATATTCAGCCTCATTAGATACAGAAACTGAAGGGAAGGGAAGAAGGGAAAGGATCAGGAACCACTTGATTAAGGAAAGAACAGGAGTAACTAAGATTGCAATGGTTTGGTCACATCAGTCGTAGAAATAAAAACTATATGGGTCGAAGGATAGAGTTATTAGAAAATGATGGAAAGACAGGTAGAGGAAAACCAAGGAAAAGATGAAACACTGTGTAGCAGAGGACTTGAGAGAAAAATATTTAAATAAAGAAGATAAGATATAAATAGAAACGACTGGCGAAGAACAGTAAGGAATAGCAACCCCTGAAAAGGGAAAAGCTGAGGAATAAGAAGTAGATCTCCTTATTTAGAAGTCTTGTAGTGCCATAAAACTTCCGTCGTCACTTCGTTGTTGGCTTCCTTTAAGTGTAAATAGTGGTGATGGTTTTAGAAAACGTGATCAGATCCACACGCTGCTCCTCAATAAGTTCTAACATTATTAATCTTTATATTGAAGTTTATTTTTGCATAAACAGTACTCGATTATTAATTTCAAAGTTATCGTTGGTTCTTGTAGGATTACTTTCTTCCTAGTTTCAATACTCTCTACCAAGTTAAATGAGTTCTCCGTAAAATGTATCATATACGTCCTTCTTTTCATATTCAGATATTGTGTATGTGCCCACTACGTACTAGTCATATCCTTTAAACTTAATTCAACTTTTAATAGTATAGCATGTATTTGTTAATACTAGTTAGTAACTAAGTCAACCTTTTCTTTATCAGTATACACACATCTGCTGTTGCTATTCTGTATTTCTTTACTTCTGCAGTATAGAAATAGATAAAATCTTTAAACTCTTTTGCACCAACTAATTTAAATCTTTTAATTTTTTTAACATCTAATCAACTTAGTTCAAATACCTTACACATTCCACGTTCCAAAAGTCACTAACCTTTTGCGTCGTTTTTCATTATTACTATACGGCGTTTTCTTTGTAGGATTTTTTGCAATAATTTTTTTTCATGGGAGCAGACCCATCACCCTAACCCGCTATTCTTCGGAAGATCATATATTCTGTTCTCGTTTGCCTTGACCCAGCTTACCAACGGAATTGGTTATCACGATCTTTCACAGGGTTGCTCAGGTTTCCAGGGGGTACCACTAAGAGGTGAGAGTCGAAAAATTTAGTAAAAGACGCTTAGTGGTGCTAATTGCTAACATCATCATATATTCGCTTCACCACCCCTTTTCACTCCAAAAACTCAAAAACTAAGATGTATTATGTAAAAATACAAGGACAGTGTAAACAAATACATGCATCCTTAAGGTTCGGTTTTTATATAGAAGATATTAAAGAAAAACAAAAATAAGGAGAGAGTAAATAAAAAGTGACAAAGGAAGGAAAAGAAATAAGAGAAAAGAAATAAATTACAAAAGAATAATGAAAAGAATACGAAGAAACAAGTAAAAACAAAGATATTTAAGTACGAATGAAATTTATTGATTAAATGAAAACTTACGTGCACTAATGAAACTGAAAAGTTTTTTCAAAGTTCATAAGAAAATAGAATAGCAAGAATAATTCTAACACAGAGAAAAATGATTCTTACGTCTTCTCATAGCTATTCCATATCCTTTATCGTCTAGAGCAGGTCCAACTCTGGCTAATGTACAGTGTCGTTCTATAACATACTCTATTGTTGTGGACTCCATCAAAAAAGCATAGTTTTCTGATTCAACTTTTTTGACCCCATCGTCGTTGTCTACCATCATCAGCTCTGAGTTGTGTGCCATATAACTCCAAATCTTTTTATATTTTGTTAAATTTGAATCCTAAAATCAATAATCGACAAAGAAATAACAATATAGTGTAAGAACCACATAATTTAGGATAATTTTTGCTTCGCGATTTTATGTCCAAAAGTTTGTTCGCCCGATAGTCATGGACTATAGTTTGAGGTAGGTATAAAGACTAACTTATATGAGATTGGCTACATTTGTTGCCCATTTATGACACATAGTATAGGCCTCGAGTACCCATACAAACTTTTGACAAAAAAGTAAATAAACATCATGCTTGCTACGCCTATGAGAAAGATCTAAGATCTTATACAAATCTAATATTATTTAGATCTAAATACATTATACATTATATAATAAGAGGTTAGACGTTATTTCTGGAAGACCTCATATATCATTACATTTATCAAAACGTTTCTTACTTCCTTTGTTTTTCTAAAATAATAACAAAATACTAACTCTAAAGTAGTTTGCAGTGGCTCCACCTTTTTTGGCTCCAAACTGAATTTCTGTTTGTTGTGCTAATTCATCTATATCATTAAATGGAGTTACCAAGGTGGTAACAGTCAAAAAAGCAGCTAAGTTGGCGGTGTATGAAGCAACCATAGTCAAAACAAAGAACCACCAAAATCCAGAAGCTGCTCGAGTAGAAACTGATCTAAAAAATGAGGTTAGGTGGTTAATGTGGATTTTAGATTTTTGATAGAATGTTTTTATTAGACCGATACATTAATTCATTCTTTAGAGACAAAAATGTCACTAAACCTCTAAAAGTCATGAGAACAAACTGAATTTTGTTAAAAATGCTAATAGTGGGACCCTAAAACAGATAATGATTTATCAAGAATTTGTAAACCGATGAAAAAATGTTTTAAACCAGAAATAAAGCTAAGATAATTTTAAATAAAAATGTTTATTAGCACTTTTTCTCTAGAATGGACTCTCTCGGAAACGTTTTCTTAGAAATAAATAAATGACTTTATTTGCGGCGTAATGTAAAAATTGTAAGTATACGTAAGATATGCATCTTTACCTTTAAAACTTATTTTGATTTATGGCGATAGGACACTCTCATCAAAAGGTCTCAAAGTTTTACCGTCGAATTGGTACAAATTTTATTTTAAAAATTAATTTCGTGCGCGCTACTGACATTCACAATCGACCGTCGTGCCAAGCATTGTTTCTGAGAGAACGGTTCATTCTACACTAATAGGTATTAGCCTAATTGGGCGATATAAAAACGCTTATTTAGTTTTGGAGTAAGAATAATTTGGGCAACTTTCTATTAGAGTGGAAAGTAATCACATTTTTTTGCAGCACATATGCAGGAACAGTTTTAAATACCACATTGCAGAAATTTATTGGTTCAAAGGAGACAAGCATTATAAAAGAGCTCCTTTCATATACCCTATTATGAATTAAAATAGCTAACAGCATCTTACATTAACAACATACATAACCCTTGGTGTCTCCCTAACCCGAGATATAATAAACACTGTGAAATACAGGGTCTATAGTAAAGTATGAAATTATTGGAGTTTCCTTGCATTGTCAAGTGCCAATGAGTTATGTAAACTTTAAGGATTTTTCCTGGATTTATTGGTTACATATTCATTTAGATAATAAAAGAACTGATAAATAAAAACATATACATTTGTGCAATCTAAGAAACCAAGAAGAAAAGTAAAGGCCAAATAGACTATAACCAATATTTTTTAGCATACAGTGGAGTGAAGGATGAAGAACGAGCACGAGCAGGCGTAGGTATACTGCATATCACAATGGACTACCAAAAATTAAATGTTATGTTTATCTATAACCCCGAGGACTGCACACCTAAGGAGGAACGAGAGGCATTCTACGAACAATTGCAAACAATCCTGGATAAAATACCTCATGAAAAGCTTTAATTCTTATGGGTGACTGTAATGCACGAATAGGAAATGAACTAGTTCCAGGAGTAAAACAAAGATCTAATGAAAACCATGTCAATACAAATGGAGAACTCATAGGTAATATCTGTGCTTTTAACGAACTGAGAATCAATAATACATTTTTCGACCTAAGCTCCAGTAAAAATATACATTTTAAAACTCCAGGAGTACAAATCTATGATTGATTATATAGATAGAAAAATCCACCCAAAGCAGATTCTAGATATCCGAACTTTAAACTCAGCAGATGCAGGGAGTGATCACAAACTAGTACTAGCAAAAACAAGAATGAAAATGACACCAAAACATTTTCTACAGGAAATCACCGAGGAAAAATTCAATGTAGAATCACTGTAAAACGACTCTATAATAGGAATGTAGAAGTCTATTTCTTCTTCTTAGCCTTCTGTCGTCCATGTTTGGACATAGGCCTCTCCCAACTCCTTCGATCGGTCTCTATCCTGAGCAACATATTTCAATTTGTTCCGGCTATTCTTTTAATGTCATCAACCCATCTCATCTGTGGTCTTCCTCTTGGTCGTTTACTTTCGTAAGGTCTCCAATGTTGTATTGTAGTATTCCAACGTTGGTCTTTGTGTCTAGCAGTGTGGCCCGCGAAGCTCCATTTAAGTTTGGCAATTTTTGTTGTTATGTCCTCGACTTTTGTTTTGGATCTTACCCAGTCGTTCCTACTTTTATCTGACAGTCGTATACCTAACATTGCTCTTTCCATTGTTCTTTCTGTTGTGGCTAGTTTATTCATGTTTGCCTTGGTTAGGGTCCAGGTTTGATATCCATATGTCATGATAGGAAGGATGCATTGGTTGAACACTTTGCTCCTCAAGTATTGGGGTATTTTGCGGTTCTTAAGTATTCAACTAAGTTTTCCAAATCCTGCCCATGCTAGTCTTGCTCTTGTAGTAATTTCCGCACTTTCGTTTATCTTTGTCAAGTCTCAGGAATTGGCCTAGGTAGATATATTACTGGATTTGTTCTATCTCACTGCCGTTTATAGTTATATGTCTGGGGTCATCTGTGTTTGTCATTATTTTTGTTTTTTTTCATATTCATTTTTAGGCCGACGTATTGGGAGCTGGCTGCTAGTTCCGCCAACATAATTTGCAGTTCCTCGAATGTGCTCGCTATAATCACTATGTCGTCAGCTAATCTGAGGTGGTTTAACTTGTTGCCATTAACGTTAATGCCATAGGTTGACCAATTTGTAGTTTTAAAGACGTCATCTAGAGCTAGGTTAAGAAGCTTTGGCGATATTACGTCTCCTTGTCTCACTCCTCTCTTAATGGGGATGGGATTTGTATTTTCATCTAGTTGTACTATCATAGTGGCATTTTCATATATATTATGTATTAGTTGCCTATATCTCGAATCTATTCTACAATTATTAATAGCTTGTTCTATGGCCCACATCTCGATACTATCAAACGCCTTTTCATAGTCGACGAAGGCAAGAAATACGGGTAGTTGGTATTCATTTGCCTTCTCTATCAATGTTCTCATTGTCAGCAGATGGTCTGATGTACTATATTCTTTGCGGAAGCCAGCCTGTTCAACCGGTTGGTAATTATCCATTTTGTAGTTTAACTGGTTTTTAATAATTCTCATAAATAGTTTGTATACTTGACTGAGCAACGATATAGGTCTATAATTCTTTAGATCACATTTGTCCTATTTTTTGTGTAAGAGTATTACTAGACTCTCGTTCCAGTCTATAGGGATCTGGCTATTATGGAGACATCTATTAAATAGCTCTCTGTTAGTACAGGGATTGTTAATGTCTTGCTTGTTTTCAAGAGCTCGACAATTATACCGTCGTGTCCTGGAGCTTTATTATTTTATTAGTTCTTTTAAAGCTCTTTCTATTTCGTATCCCTTTATATTTGGTAGTACTTCTGATCCCACGTTTTTTATTTTTATTTTGACGTTCTCCTTTGTTGTTTTTATTTAGGTTTTTATTAATCTCGTCAATTTGATCTTGATTATGTCAAGGATCAGATTCGAATTTATCCGCTAAGACCTCTCGGAATTGCTCTTCATTTGTTCTTAGTTTAAAGGTATCTATCCTCGTTGTTTTTTTTAAATCCTTTTTCTCTCTTCTTTCATGTTAATATTTATTTTTGCTCTGACTATACGATGGTCACTACCCGTTGTTACGTTGTTTATCGTTGTGACGTCTTAAATTATTCCTTTGTTGTTTAAGAGAAAATAGTCTATTTCATTGTTGGTAGTTCCGTTAGGTGCGACCCATGTCCACTTTCTGTTAGGTTTACTTTTGTAGAATGTATTCATAACATACATATTTTCTTGTTCCAGGACTTCCATGAGTTTTTCTCCTCTTGTGTTTCTTGTGCCGAATCCAAAATTTCCAATCTCGCTTTCAGAGTCTTCAATCTTACTTCCAATTTTGGCGTTAAAATCTCCCATTATTATTATTTTGGATTCTTTGTTGTTGTCTATAGCTTTTTTAACGTCTTCGTAAAAAGAATTTATTTCCTCATCGGTTGTTTTTTCAGTTGGCGCATAAACTTGCACGATCTTTATTTTGGTTTTTGAATTTAGTTTTAAGACCATGTATGTAACCCTGTCTGATATGCTGTCAATTATTTGAATTTGAGATTTTCTCTTCTTGTTGATTAAGAAACCTACTCCACCGTATGTGTAGTCTTCCCTGCCTTTATAATAGAGTCTGTTACCTGAATGTAAGTCCACATAACCTTCACCTCTTCTTTTAACTTCTGACAGTTCCATTATGTCCCAATTCAAGTTCCCCAATTCCTTTTCTAGTTCGTAGAGTTTTTCGTCTTTTGAAATGGAGCGGATGTTGTATGTTGCTATATGGAGTTCTTTGTTCTTCTTCTTTTTAAATGTCGACTTGCCCCCCCCCCCCAGAATCCTCGGGGCAGACCATTGTTACGGTGTGGGACTGTGCAATAGAATTCCTACCCACCTGGGGTACCTTCCGTGTTTCTGTTGCAATCGACATGTTTGGTTTTGGAGGTTTTGGCCATAACCCACCACGCTGGCCAGACGGGTTGGTGGGGTATAAGATGTATCGTGTCCACCATTATAACCAAGGTTAGCGGCCTACTCAGTTCAGCCAACACCCTTCGGAAAAGATGGGTCGGCACCACTCGTTTGTGATTACAGGGTTCACCAACGAACCCTGTTATCTACACAAAGTACAAAACAATAAATACTCCAGAATCCGAGACACCTATAGATGAATACGAAATGAAACAAAGCAGTTGGTAGAAGAACAAAAAATGAACACTGCAAACATTTTACAAAAAAGATGGAGAGCGACTTCTCCGGTACACACAAACAAATATGGCGATTCATAAGAAATCAACGGAATGAAATGGCAGAATTAAAGGAATAGAATTATGTATCAGCAAACGAATGGGAAAGATACCTGACGGAACTATTTAAAGGAAAGGAAAATATTTATTAAAACAATAACGTACCTGAATTAAGGCACGAAATAGAAATTAGTTTTCAGGAAGTAGAGATAGCCATAAATTCACTCAAAAATAGAAAGTCGCCAGGACCAAATGGAATAAACAACGAGCTTCTAAAATACGGAGGAAAAAGTATAACTCTAGAGATGAAAAAACTTATACAAAAACTAATATTGCACTGCAAGATAATGTGCGTCGCATAGAGAAACAGCATAATGAGATATATAGCAGAATAAATAATGAAATTATTGATAAAAGAAATTTTATGGCGATTGGAAATTTTAAGTCTTTCTAAGAAATTTAGGTTCTTATTAATGATAATATTTTTTAACTGAACAGATTCTGTAGGTAAATACATTATTATTATACCAGTATCATAAAAACTGGGCATCAACAATGTTCAAAGGGAATATAATTTAAAAATGGTTAAATGGTATGGTTAAAAAACTGGCACTATATATTCCCAGATACTTATGCAATCTTGAATTTCATCAAATAATTGTTTTAAAAATGTGGCATAATAAATAATAGCATTATAAGAATACGACAGAGAAGTATGAAAAAAACATCAAATAATATAAAGTAAAATGGAGTAATAGTACCGACAACAACAACCCATGATATAATCAACACATATGAGGAAGTAACATAAGGACGAAATAATAGGAAATAAGAGAAAGCATTAAGGTGTAATAAGATGAAATAAAAAATAAAAAACAACATGAAGCAATAAAAAGCAATAGAACATACCAGAAACTAAGAGAAAAAATCAGAAACAATTAAATATTAGGAGTAATTTCTGAAATATAAGTACTTACATTGGAGCCAACTCCGATCCTTGCTGCATCAATGCTCCAATCGTAAACCACAGCGAATTCCTTATGGAAAATTGATTCATTAGAAATTCTGGTTCTTCTACACAAGGATAAGGGTTCTGCCATTCCGTCGGTGACAATCTTCCCATTATAAATATAGATATGGAAACAAACAGATAAGATATTCCCAACATTGTCCATACTTTGAAGGAAAATGGGGATATAAACATAAAAAGACTAGGTGGAACTGGTTCCGGCTTTTTGTAAAGAATGCTTATACCTAAAAATAAAAAGAAATATTTTGTCTAAATCAAGTATCCTTTGAAAAGGAAACAGAATTATAAAATTAACCATTTTTCTGTCATCTTAACAGTCCCAGGATGGAGTTTCATTATAAGTAAATAGAAAAATAATAAACAGTACAGATTCCGTATTAAACTATCTGTTATTAAATATCAAATTATTTTTTTCTACTTACCCAAGTTCATGAATGGCTCCGAAAAATCTACAGCGCTCTCTCTTTCTGACGTTATCGTTAGATCCGTTATTGCAAGATCAGCTCTCTGAAAATAAATTAACTAAATCTCTAAGCCTCTATTTATATATGTGTATGTTTATATAAATCTCTATTCTCTATCTAAACTAGATGTCAAGCAAACAAAAACATCACTTACCCCATCAATGATTTCTCCCATCATTCCATCCCATCTTCCTGTGACCTTATTTAGGGTGCCATATTTCGCATCTTCTTGTAAAACAAACGTGTAGTTAAAGCCCAATATTGTTGACAATTCCGCTATTAAATCGATACCATATCCTTCGTATCTGTCATTACCTAAGAGCTGAGTAGTGGAGTCTTTTAACATTTGATAGGGGGGACTCTGTAAAAGAACTAAATATGTAGGTATTAGAAAGCTCATTATAGAGAAAAGAGAGACATTGAAGGGAGGCCTGGGGTGCAAAGAATAATTAAAAAAATTGTAACTTCTTATCAAAACGGTTCCATCGAGCATAATACCACGGAAGGTAGTCCGAGATAACTAGTCCTTATAAGGCACCAACTGTCACTAATGAGCATACTACAGGTTAAACTAAGTGTATCTAGACATGGCGAATATCACCGAGTAGTTACCGCTATAAGCAATATTTAACTTATTGGACAATGGCTATGGCCGGACGAGTAAGTATAATAGCACATTTTGGTAAAAATCGATCTCGAACACGATGTAACTGTTTTAAAGGCATTGAGGAACCACTATACTACAGACTCTTATAATGAAGCTAGTAGAATTACCATGACAATAAATGATAGATACTAAAAGATCGAGGAATTCGGAACAAGAGTGGAAAAAACAAGAACTCCCAAAACGTTAACCGGTAAAATCATTTTAAAAGAAGAAAATAATTTAAAATAGAAACGTAAATAACATAAGAATTGCCACATAGAACGTCTGCAGTATGTATTAAGAAATTATTTCTCCAGTCTGTTATTCGTTTCCCTGACGCCTTATACAGCAGTCACTGCTGCAAACTCCATATTTGCCGCAACATGAACAGAATTTTTTACATAAGGTATTGCAATTTTTACGAATGTGACCTGGCATTTTGCATCTAAAGCACGTCCCTTTGGAATCGTATTCTCTTGGGGCTGTACGTTTCTGGTGTCTTTAGAGATTTAGATTTACTCTGCTTTTTTCGTCTTCTATGGCTTCATATTCCTGAGCTAAGTCTTGTAATTCAGTTAAATCTTCAAAATCTCGTCGGCGAATATGAAGTTTATATTCAAGTACCATATTTCTATATATTCGTTCCAGTTCTTGATATTTGGAAAAATATCCTTCTCGTCTAATTAATGTTTGAATGTCTGTGATCTATCCGCTGACTCGTTTTGTTTTTGATTTCTATTTCTGATTTGCTCCTTTAGTTGTAGCAAATATCCTCTAGGATAGAAAGCTGTCTTAAAATCTTTGCTGAAGTCTGTTCACGACTTCAAATTCTTGTTGTTGTTTCGGTACTATAGCAACGCATGGTCTCCTAATGCTCTTAGAAGGTCTTGTTTATCGATCTCGTAGGCTAGTCTTAATTCGTTTATCATTTCGATGAAGTATACTGCATCTGAATATTTTTTATCGAAGTGCGTGCCCACTTTCGTACTTGGTTTAATAACTCTGTTGTTGTTATTATAATTGTTTTCTGATAATTGACATTTCTTGGGTTAATACACCGGGTTCATATTCCTTGTAAGGATTGACTTTTGGGATCGTACCTGTAGGTTCTACGCGATCTTTAAAAAAGTCTCAGCCTTGATCTTAGATCTTTGGAAGTTCCTTTGGAATTTAAACCGACCTTTAGGCCCCGCGCTGTTATTTTTCTTTGGAATGTCGTGGATGCCTATATCCACGACATTTCTATCGTGGCACCTGCTATTGAGTATGTGTCTGTCTGTGTAATTTTTAGAAGAATTTTTCACCAAGTAACAAAAAACCAAATTTGTTAAATTTATTAATGTTTGTATTTTGAGAACTAGTTCCGAAGTGGAAATTAAGACGTCAATAAACTTATTTTAACCTTCAATTGTGGCTTATTCCCATTAACATAGTATCTTATTCACTCTCCATTGTATATAGTTAAAAGTAACCAAAAAGCACAAAAGCTAAAGGAAAGGGAAAAGCCAGCAAAGAAAAAGCCGACAACAGTAAAAAAAAAAACGGGTTTTAAGATAAATATTCTATTACTAGCAAATGTACCTAAATTCAATAAGTCACCCAACAGCATAAAAGATAGCGATGGAAATCTTATCTCGGAGCCATCAACGATCTTAAAAACATGGAAATCATACATAGAAAAATTATTTGCATCTAACAGGACTGACGATCACCTATATGGAGAAGGAGAAACAGGACCTTCAATTCTTAAATCGGAGATAGAAGATGCCATTGCAGCACTAAAAAACAATAAGTCAGCAGGTCCGGACAATGTACCCTGCGAAATATTAAAGATCCTATGTAAATCAGACAAACAGTTCCTTGACAATCTAGTTGTTCTTTTTAACAACATATATAATAGCGGTAAAATCCCGGAGAACTGGCTACAGTCAACATTTATTACAATCCCGAAGAAACCAAATGCCCAGATTTGTGATGACTACCGGCTCATAAGCTTGATCAATCATGTCACTAAAGCGTTCACTAAGATCATTCACAGAAGAATATATGATAAATGTGAAAATCAAAAGACTGATATTTTTTTGTGCACACTTATGACAAGTCGAAAGAAAATGCAAAAAAGTATTTTTGAAGTGTGTATATTTTAGGCAATTCCTAGCTGAGCGCTTTCGGCTTTACAAAGCCATCATCAGAGCTATGCTACAATAAAATGTTCTAGTAAGTACTAATTGGTAAAGATTGTAATTTTTAACTTACGTCAATTTTTAAATACCACTACAAAGGAGAGATCTCATTTCCTTAAGTTTCAAAATTATGATTTTTTGTAGGAGTTGGAATTCTTAAAACATATAAAAAACATATAAAAAGTCGACACTGGACTTCACAAACACGTTAAAAAATTGAAAAAATTTTTGTCATGGTACGGGTTTAAGACCCGACCATCTATTGATGTGAGGACGTAGACTGAATAGAACTAGTGAAATCAAATGTCGGCCTTTTTAAACGATTTTTCAAAAGTGACAGGTGACAAATGTCATATATAGGAAATAGAGATTGTTTTTTTTAAATTCTTACAAAATTATTTAGTAGTTTGGAATTACTACTAGTCAACAAAGACTTTCTAAAAATTAAGTTTTTAAATTAAATTTTATGTGTTCATCACATCATACAGAATGACATTAATTTGTAAATTCACTCAAGTCATTGCTCAAGGTCAATGTATGTTCAATCTGACAGCTATCCTTAAGGAACAAGGGCTCAAATTGTTCAACAACACTATAAAGAAGAAACCTGGTATTAATGTTATGTTATCTGATACTTAAGTGTATTAAGAATTGTATGTCTTGATGGAAAATTGTAAGAACTTTGCATAAAAATTTTTTAAGAATGTATTTTTATGTTTCAATTAAGAACAACTGTCAAATGAATTACAAAATGTTGTAAATTTTAATAAAGTTTAAAATTTGTTTAAAAAATAAAAGTATGAAAAATATATAACAAGATTGCATGAGGTCACCCTTCTTCCTCTAAAGTCTCCCATAATAATTTAAAAAGAGGTTTATAGTTGCAATTGAGGTTGATTTGTGTGTTTAAGCAACAATCAGGGTTTATTTTCATTTCTTTGGATATCTCTAGATCTTCCAAGAGATTCATGAGTCTAAAAAACTTTAGAGCCGAAAGCCGAAAGCGCTCAGCTAGGAATTGCCTAAAATATACACACTTCAAAAATACTTTTTTGCATTTTCTTTCGACCTGATAAATGTGAGTCAAATATTGATAGATCGCAGTTTGGTTTTCGGAAAGCACTTGGAACTAGAGAAGCAATTTTCGCTCTCCAGGTGCTTATACAACGGTGTAGAGACGTTGATAAAGACGTGTATCTGTGCTTTGTAGATTTTAGAAAAGCATTTGACAATGTCAATCATGAACAATTGATAGGTATTCTGTGAAAGACAGGTATTGACGACAAGGACATTCGAATTGTGGCAAACCTATACTGGGGTCAAACAGCAAGAGCAAAAATTGGCAACGAACTCACTGAAAGCGTGCAGATCAAAAGGGGTGTTCGTCAGGGGTGTATATTATCCCCACTCCTATTCAATATGTATTCCGAGGAAATATTTAACAAATGTATGGAAAATGCAAATGAGGGCATTAAAATAAACGGCGAGTTAACGAACAATATAAGATACGCCGACGACACGGTGATCCTTGCCAGTACCATAGACGAATTACAACAAGTAATGGAAAGACTTTATTCAGTTAGTGAGGAATACGGCCTGAGCCTCAACTTCAAGAAGACAAAGTGGATGCTGATAAGCAAAAAGCAACAACCTGCTCGACAATTACGGATAAGTAACATATTAATTGACCATGTAGAATCTTATGTGTACCTTGGCACCAACGTAAATGCAAAATGGGAACAGACCATAGAAATTAAGGCGAGAATAGAACGAGCTAGAGCAGCATTTAGCAATATGAAAAAGCTCCTCATAAGCAAGGATTTGTCTCTTCCCCTAAAACTACGTATAGTTAAATGCTACATTTTTCCGATCTTGCTGTATGGCGTGGAGGCCTGGACGCTGACGGAGACGCTAACGAGAGAACTAGAAGCATTCGAAATGTGGGTGTACCGACGCATTCTTCGTATATCCTGGACCGAACATGTCACCAACATAGAGGTACTCCAAAGAATCGGAAAGGAGAAAGAAATCGTGAATACAATTAAACAAAGAAAGCTTGAATATCTAGGCCACATATTGAGACACGATAAGTACCGTCTGCTACAATTGATTGTCCAGGGAAAAATAGACAGTAAGCGAGGGCCAGGCAGGAGAAGACACTCGTGGCTCCAAAATCTGCGGAAGTGGTTCGGGCTCACATCGGTCGAACTATTCAGAAGCGCCGCAAACAAGATCAAAATTGCCATGTTAATAGCCAACGTTCGCAACGGACAGGGCACTTGAAGAAGAAGAAGCAAATGTACAATGGAAATTGACGCAAACGAAGCTGGATGGACGGT